TCCATGACTTCTAGGAATAACATGATGCAATTCATATCATGTATGACGCAATACCAGCTTCAGATTGCATCATTCATTGTTTTGCCTAACAAGCAAGTACTGTCCAAACCCAGTCAGAGATTTATTCATAGATCCAGTCAAAGATGTATTTTAGTCATTTCTGGTTTAAATTGAGATCCCTTCCCTTTATAACTCATTTATCCTCCGCCATTCCCAAGTCAAGGGTCGTATATACTGACCCAATAGCATATCTTGAAAACTAGAGCCAATCAACAATTTTAAGCATCATTTTCGTTCTCAGTGATCCAGAATTAGTAAAGTTTGACTACATTTATTTCAGAAGCATTTTGGCTGAAGAGCAGTGTAATAGGAGCCTATATAAGAAAAAGACCCAAAAATTGGGACTGTCCCTATAAAATCGGGACATCTGGTCACCCTACAGTGGGGGGAGTGGCACCTGTATGCTGCGATATAAGGGGCACCACCAGTTCCCCCACCCTCCTCCTTACCACCAGTGCAGGTGCCGGAACGTCTTCTTGCTTTGGCAACCCTTCTCTTTCTCAAACCGTTGTTACGAACTTTTCTCCTGTAAATAGTTGAAAATTGTTAGTAGTTTCCCTTAGTCAGTTAGTCTGGGACGGGACTCAGCCTCGGGACTCATGCCCTGATCCCCAGGCTTCAAACCCTGTGACTGGTGTAAAAAGCTGATTATTTATTTAAATACCCATTGTGATAGATTGACAATATCTTGAAGAAACTTTATGGAATTAAGATAAGCTTTATTGAGTTAAGTTACACCTTGCTGAGTTCGGATTAACATCTTTTGAGATGAATTGTATTAAAAATACAGTTGTGTATGTGTTGCTGTGACATTATATGTGACATTATATGTACCTTCTCTAGTAGGGAGGGGGGATGCTAATGAACTTCCTCCATTATTAGAAGTTCCTTTGAAGGTCCCCTGGAGAGAGATGCATATACTAATTCAACCTGGATTCTCCAGAGACCAACAGACAAAGAACAGACTTTTGGGTAAAAACCTTCATTTTCAGCTGACTTGGGGCCTTCTTCCTGATCCAGCAAATGTACAGGACCCCTGATCCACAGAAGCCCCCAATCCTTAAGGGAGGATAGGAAGAACTTGGCCTACTGAGGCTTCATAAGACTGAGCTGAAGCTTTGATGAACTTGTTACCACAAGGATGCCCTTACGATGGGTTATTAAAAGACTGCAGTTGTCAGAGCCTCTGTGAGTGTTGGTATGAACTCTGATAAGTTTATTAACATCCACGTAGGTTCTTCTATTGTTTTTAATGTTTTTTCTGTAATGCTTTGTACCTTAAGAATAGAGTAGGCTTGCTTAGAAAGAACAGTGTGGTAAATTATATCTGTTCTCTGTCTCTGAAGAGAAAGCAAGCAGGTGGCCTAGGGAACCTGTCTGTGCTGGGAATTACACAGCAGAGGCAAGGGAATAGGGCAGTCTGGGAGTAGCCGGTCAGAAGGAGGAGAGAGGTGCATCTCCACTCAAGAGAGGCAACAGCTGGGGAGCTGAAAGCCTGAGAGTTGGGTACTCTTGCTGAACCCTTGAGTGGAAATACCAGTGCATTTGCCCCGAACTCTGACATCCACATTTAGAGAGGTACATTCTTGCAGACTAACGTATGTCCCAGGATTACAGTATCACCAAAGAATAATGGGCTCTATCTGTTGAGGCACAGCCAATGCATTTATTTTCAAATCCATTTGCCCTGTAATAGTGTGGAATTACAATGCCATGATTTCTGGTATATCAAATTGCCCTTATATTCTAATGTTAAGTGTAATGGTATGACACCCCTAGTGTACTGTTTAATAACGACATCCTATACTTTTTTGCTTTGGTTCCAAATGGCAGATTTTTTGCAGAGTTAACAATCTTAGTGCTGCATTCCTCCAGAATCCCCTGTAGACTTCAGAACACAGGCTGCACTCTTTTTCTGGTAATTGTATATGTTAGGACTTTTGGTTCACAAGACATCTTGTAACTTTTTTTAAAACATTCTGGAGTTTCACCAACTGCATTTTATTTTGTGAAACCTGGACACTTCCTTTATAGAACGTTTTAAAGCCTTTCCCATATGACTCTGTCTTTTGCTTTAGGTACCTCCTATGACTCCTGTTTGAAAGGGGGAGGGGTGTATATGCAGATCCTTGATCCACCCCATTAATCCCAGAGAGGAAGTGAGTGTAAAGATGCCAGAACCTGAAGTAGTACCAAGTGTCACCTCCTCCCTTTGTCTGTGTATGGTAGTGACCACCCCTTCGGGTCTCTATTTCTTTTTGAGGATAGTGGCTGCCACCTCCCCATCCTTCTCTCTTATGGAGGAAATATTTTCCTCTAAGTCTGTTACCCTAGAGGCTGTAAAAGTCAGCAGACCAGAGGACAGTTTTTCATTGCTGCTTCTTTGGAATGGGTAAAGCTGTTTGCCATCTGAAGAGCCTTTACCTGGAAAAGAGAGAGTATTGGTCTTTCTTGATGCCCTCCAAGGAAGAGATGAGAAGATGAACACAATCACCCTGGAAGACAAGTGGGGATGTTGCCTCTGCATGTTCTCCCACCTTCCCACCCTCCTATTCCTTATGCTGGGGTTGGGCTCCACCCAGTAGAGTGAAAGTAGTTATTAGGCGGGATTGGCTTTAGGGAAGTCGACCAGTAGTAGTATCCCTCACTTTGAAGTAGGGTGTGGAATTTGGATACAGCCTGGGTTCCCAGAAGAATAGCTGAAGACTCAGGAGTCACTGATGTGCTGGTACGTTGGCAAAATGTTCTAGTCCTGATGTACTGGTCCGTACCAGTCCAATTTGAGCTCTGCCAAGGGCTGCTTTTAATTTGACTCTTAAGCTAGAAGTTTAATTATAGGAAGGAAGTGAATACTTGTGCATGGGGTGCGGTACAGATGCACAAAATGTTATTTTTAAAGGGGGTGTTTGAGTCTGAAAGCTTTCTATTCAACACTTGATAAAAGAGGGTCTGGTTCCAGAAATGAGGAAGGGAAACCTAGCTAACAAAATGAATCATAACAATTCCTTTAAACTCCAACTGGAGAAGCAAAAGATAGCCATAGTCTCTGCTGTTCCTCTGGCATAGACCTCTCTATGTACTCTTATCTCATAACTTGTAAATTGTACTCTGTCAAGATGCACATAGACTGAATTCCCTTTCTGAGGAGATAAAATGATGCAAAAAACTCAGTGAATCTGAGACCGACTGACTTGAAAATATCATCTGCTACGAGGATTTACTTATAATACTTACTCCTGAGGGCATTCTGTGCAAAAAATTAAAAAATCCGCGCCAAAAAAATTAAAAATTCTGTGCACAATATTTAAAAATTCTGCAAAATTCTGCAAGTTTTATTGGTCAATAAATAAATGCAAAGGCTCCAACATGGCAGTGGGGAGCACAGGCGACTGGCTGCATGAAGGTGGGAGATCACCCGACAGCCCTCCAATCCCCAGGACATGGACTCAGCGGTGAGGCTGCACCCCACTCTGACACAGCACAAGGCCTAGGCCTGCCCCAGAAACACCCTGGGGCTCTGCCCAGGTATACCAGGTGTGGGGCAGATAGGCTTAACCAGGCAGGATTCAAATGTGGAGCGGCTCAGTGAGGGGTAAATGTGTCATGGGCTTTTGAAATTCCATCCATGCTAAGCGGATGATTGGAGTTTTGTGCTGGCTTTGTTAACAAGAGGCAGTTCCTTGCCTCATTTTATTACTAATGTTGATTTAAACCTGCAACAAATGACCATTCGGAGGGCTGACAAATCTGTCCCTTAACAAGGTGGCTGTTTAATAAAAGTGGAGCAGAACAGTACAGTTTGAGGGTATTTTTGAATGGTCTCAAGACAGGAGGTTTGCTAATAAATTGTTAAACTATTGCATAGGTTTCGTTGTATATGCATTTTCATGGTATTATACTTTTTTGTAAATCTCATATTTGCATTGAAACTTAACTCATACTAATATCTTTCATTTACGTAGAGTAAAATCTCTATACAAAACCACCCTTATTAGACAGTTTCCTGTTTCACTAGTCTTCCCAGAGTATTCCCAAATGCACTGAGTACAGTTCTTCTCCACCTTTAGTGAGCTACCTCTATTATAAATTTATTTGTATTGCCCATAGAACCTAGGAGCTCTAGTCATGGTAAGCATCCGATCTTTGCTGGTCTCTTAAATAGTCTTTCAAGACAGGTTTCACTTTGCATAAGAACGGCCATACTGGGTCAGACCAAAGGTCCATCTAGCCCAATATCCTGTCTTCGACAGTGGCCAATGCCAGGTGACCCAGAGGGAATGAACATAACACGTAATCATCAAATGATCCATTCCCTGTCGCTCATTCCCAGCTTCTGGGAAACAGAGGCTAGGGACACCATCCTGCCCATCCTGACTAATAGCCATTGATGCACCTATCCTCCATGAACTTATCTAGTTCTTTTTTGAACCCTGTTATAGTCTTGGCCTTCACAACATCCTCTGGCAAAGAGTTCCACAGGTTGACTGGATGTTGTGTGAAGAAATACTTCCTTTTATTTGTTTTAAACCTGCTGCCTATTAATTTCATTTGGTGACCCCTAGTTCTTGTGTTATGAGAAGGAGTAAACAACACTTCCTTATTTACTTTCTCCACACACGTGTGTGTGTGTGTGTGTGTACGTACACTCACACTGCTCAATTAAAGTTAGTTCAGCACACCAGTAATTTTTTATTCACGTATCTCATCTTCGTGCCTTCTCCACATGAGCTGCAGAACAAAGTTAATAAGATCTGCAAGTTGGATACTACTGCAGTATCCTTTGAAACTCTAGAACATGATACATTTTAGTGTATTGAACTTGGAGGGTAATTTATTTGTCTCGAGGGAAGCAAGAGCCCAGAGAACTGCATGATTTTATGTCATCTCATTCACAATTGAAATGTGGTGTTGAAAGCTATTTTTTTTTTTCCTCATTGCAGATATTGAAAAATATCACTTGGTACTCAGAGCGTGTTCTAACCGAGATTTCACTGGGGAGTCTCCTGATACTGGTGGTGATAAGAACCATTCAGTACAACATGACAAGGACAAGGGTAAGGGTTATATTTAGAACTTACATATGTAGGGTATATCTGTGGTCTTCCATCAGCTGGAGTTCAGTTCCAAACTGTGGTAAAAAACAAAAGTGAACCTTTTCGCAGCAAATGAGCACCTAAACACAGTGGGGGAGGCAGAAAAAAAGTCAGCACTCAGGTACCATATGAAGTGCTTCTGAATGTGTAAAGCAATTTCTGTGATATCATTCAGTTCAGCTGCTTTGATTACTAACACACAAAGTCCAGTCATAGTAGTAGTTGCATAGTTCCTGAAAAAAGTAATAGATTTCTGATCAGAGAAAAAAATACCAGCATACCATATAATTAAATTACGTGTGGGATTTTTCACCTATGTTAAATTATCCAGAAGTATGGATTTGGGTTCCTTGTTATTTGATAAAATAGTTTTATAAACAGGTGTGGAAATTGGGGTGGAAAAAAATTACTTCTGCTTTTCTTCTGAAAAGTATAATGAGTATAATTGAGAGATCTGTGGAAAAGCATGGTTCTTTCAAATACGTTCCCCATCATGCATAGTTTCACTTCTGACTTCCCTAAAATCCATTAGGTTATATTTTGTGGATCTTCGAATTAGGGGCACTTCAGGTGTATCTCTCTAATGTGTGTAGCAGACATGTAAACTACATTAAAGACTTCTGTACGTTTCTTTCATTGCTGAAAATGTTGAGAAGTTTTTGCAATAAAATTAACTAAAGCATGGTGTTATTTGTACTAGTTCAAAGAATTTAAAACTAAAATCACCATATATGTGGTCACATCAAACAAATAGATGAGATAATTATATGGTAATAATACTAACACCACCCCCATTAACAACTTAAAACAGACGTTAATTGGCTGTAATTTCTATTTCATGAGATAACAGACTCAATGAGATGGAAGGAAAGGAAGCTGATACTGGTTGCAGAGTTTATATTGGATTAAATGTAAGCAATACTTTGTCAAGTAAGATTTTATAAACAGGAATAAGGGTTTGCGAGCCATTTAACCAGTAAATGGTTTCTTGTAAATAGGCTGCATTTTGGTATTAAATTCCAAATATTTATCAGATTTACCTCTGGTTTAAGTTAGAGGCTTTACAGAATATTCAGTTGGAACCAGAAACTCCCCCCGTTCTTCCCCCCCTCTCCCTCCCCCTTTTTTTTTTTTTTTTTGTGTCATGGCTAAGTTCTAGCCAACAATGCTGAATGAATCTTCTTGGTCACAAGAGGAGCTTTATACTTTGAACATGGGAGCACAGGAATTCTATCTAGCCTTGTTCAAGGCAAGGCAAGTGCAGATGACATAGGAAATGGAATTTTGAATCTATATCTGATTTGAGCCTACTGTATTGATTGCCATAATATACAGATTCCCCGGGCACTGGCGGAATAAGTAGTAGAAGGAGCCAGAGGCCACTTCATGTTTACATCAGTTAGACAGGAAGATACTTGGAATTTATATGTGGCATTGCGGGTCTGTGTTACTCTTAGGGAGAATAAATGCACATTTTAGCCCTAAGTAGGGAAGAGGGACTCTTAATGAAGGAAATCATTAAACATTGCTCCATGTTGTAGAGGTGTTGGTCAAACATATGACTAAAGATAAAGCCTAGGAGTGGAGAATCTAATTTTCTGCAAAAGGTGAGGATACAATGAGCAACCCCTACCACTTTTAATATCTATTACAGTAAATTAATCCCTCCAATATGCTTCTTAAGATTTATTCTCTTCCCTTGAAGAATAACACAATCCATGTTTACTTGCCTCTCCCCTGTGAGCAGGATCAATAAATATTGTATAAGCCATAGGATTGTGGATTCCACCGTTTTATCTGTGCTATGCAGTTCTCTGACTTTGAATGAGCCAGTGTTTAAACATTTATCTGGAAAGACGGTAGTTAAAATGGGCTTCAGAAACTCCAACTATAGAGGAGCAGAACTTATGAAGTACCATATTAGCGGTAGTTGTGGAGAAGTTGAATGTTTTGAAATAATTAATATGGAGGTCAAAGAATATAGGGCAAAAAGGATTGGGTAAGGTTGGAGATAATTGGGGCAAAGGAAAGGAGAGAGAATTAAAAAGCAATAGAGACTATTTTCTCTACCATTTATCAGTTATATTCATGATCCCATTGTATATCAACTTTGATTTTAAAATGTATATGTACAGTGAAATCTGTACAAGAGACCACCCTTATTAGGCAAATTCATGTCTAAAGAGACCATTATTAAAGCATCTCTAAATATACAAAGTGCAATTCTGTTCCACCTTCATTAGAAGACCACCTCTGTTAAGCAACGGATGTTTGTAAGTCCTTGGAGTGGTTTCTTATGACAGGTCTCAGTGTATATGAAAAGGACAGTTTGATGTGTTTTTCCCCCCTCTTTTCCAACAGGACAAATACCTTCATACAAATTGTCTGGCAGCCTTAGCAAATATGTCAGCACAGTTCCGCTCACTTCATCAGTATGCTGCTCAGAGAATCATCAGGTAAATATAAGCCTTTTAAAAATATTTAAACTGGTCTTCCAGCTAAATTCAGAGGGAAAGGGACTTGAATTTTCTATGACTGAATAGATATAAGTGAAATCGGAATTAAATTATACCAGATAAATCTTATTTCACTTCATGAAGTCTGAGTTACGTTTTGAGTTAGTGACAAATATTATAAATCTTTATCAAAGAAACTTTTGATATTTTTCTGCTCTCCATAGAGCAGCCATAGCGATTGCTTTTAAACTGGAATATTTTTCAGTCACTTGTTCTGTTATGACAAAAATGCAATGTGTGATAGTTCTCCAGAACATTGCTAACTGGACTTTCAACTTAGTATATTTCTGCCTTTATTTTTAATGTAGACAAAACATAGCCATTCCTTTGTGATGGGGTGTTGTGCACTTTTTGCAGTTACTTACTTTTGTGCCTTTTTGAATGATCAAGTTCACTAGCCTTTCTTGTAACAAGTCAGTTAATGTCAGCTTGTGTTCTAATAAAAGGGACACAGCTTTCATAGAGTCTTAGGTATAGAAGATGGGAAGGACCAAGTTCCACCAGTCCCAGAGGCCACCATGTAGTTGCAGGTACTGGTGTGGGATGTGCCCACTTTATTTTAGCAGCTCATCTACTCAGTGCTCCAAAGGAAACCAAAAAGGTCCACGACATTACATCCTGGGGTAAAATTTACAATGCTTGGCAAATACAGATTTTATGCCAAAAATAAGTTCAAAATATCACACATTTCTTTGATAAGTGTGTATGTACTTAGTAAAAGTCTAGACTAACAAGTACAGTATTTTTAAAAAATATTGGTTTTGTGGGAGCTATTTCTGTGATGGTCCTTCCTGCTCTTGAGGTGCTTACTTCTCTGTATTCCATCATCATCTCCCTGCTTGACACAAGTCATCGATTCATACACAATGGCTGCAGCCTACAGTACATGTTCAACTTAAATCTGAGCTCTCTTCCTTGCAGTGTTTACCAAGTCTGTAACGCTAATTGTTGCCTATATTTGATACTGTCTTAAATAACTCCTGTGCTGCTATTCCTGGTCTCTGCATCCAAATTCTTACATATTACCCTTCATGGTCTCTAAGTCCAACTTTCCAAGTATCAACCTGTGAAATGTGAAATAATAATGCAGCTAATGGATGCCTTTGAAAGCAAGCATATATCACCTCAATCCTTGGAAAACTTGCAGACTTTTTACCCATTTCAGAATGTGATATGTACAGCCTCTTCCATATTCTGCACAGAATTGCCTTTCCTATACTCCCAGTCTCTCTCTTCATCCCTTTCCACTCTCCAGTCCCTCTGCATTTCAAACATCTGTCACTGTGTCTCTACCAGTCACTCTCCCTGCACTCCACCAAAACCTTCTCTACAGTGATCACTGGATCCTTCCTGCATGCTCTTCCCACCATCTAGCAGCAGATTGACTCCTTGACGTTTCTCAGATCCTATCTCAAGACCCAGGCAAGGACATGAAACTCAATCAAATAATCTTAGGTGCTTTATACACAGCAATTCACTATGAAGCTTGGGTTTTTTGTATCCACTGCATCCATCTTGCCATATACACTGCTCTGATACCTTAACCTACTTCTTTTTATTTGGATGTGAAGACTAGTTGCTCTATATTCTTATATGAAAGGTGTGATACAAAGTTGCGTTGTATTTCTCCCTCACACATACAGAACTGTTATGTATTTAAAGCCATGATGCTTAATGATGGAAAAAACAGCAAAATCTCTGTCATGTTTAAATTAAATGCACCAAATTGCATGTTGCACAGTATTCTTGCATTGTATAAGGAGCTAGTAAAGCCACATTTGAAATAATATGTCTAATTCTACTCATGCTAGAATAAAAATCAGAGTTGGAGCAACCAAAATCATACTAAAAACAACGAGGAAATTTGTTAGTCTCTAAGGTACGCTCCTCATTGTTTTTGCTGATACATACTAACACGACTACCACTCTGAAACCTTTCAAAATAATACTGGCATTCAAAACCTTAGTTCTTCAAAAGAATAATCTCTTAGGAACAGGAATCATTTTTTGTTCTGTGTTTGTACAGTGCTTAACACACTGGGGTCCTGGTCCAAGACTGGGGCTCTTGGGTGCTACTGCAATACAAATAATAACAATAAGGTCAAAACCACTAGGGACTGGACTGGCAGTCCTTATTCAGGCTTCAGTAGAAGTTATATCTGAGTAACAACTGCAGGACCATGCCTAAAGCCAGCATGTTGGTAATCTTTCGGGGCAGGTGGAAAAATCAATTAATCTGAGAACTCATTGCATTCACAGAATTCTTCATTACAGATTGTACAGATTGTTCACTAAGTGAGAGGTGGTGGTTATTCCAGTGGTGCCTGTGGGGTCCTGTCAGCATGGAGGCCAGGCTTTGCTGGGTTGAAACACAGACAAAAAAGTGGCTGCATTATCTAGTTTAAGACAGGACACAACAAGAGACTGTGATCAACACTAGGAGGGAAGGGGAAATGAAGACAAGGGTAACAGTAATAATGTAATGTTTTTACACAGTCTTAATTTGCTGAGACAGACAGGGCTTAATTTCTTAGAGACTATTACCTGGAGCTCCCCATGCCCCACCCTAATTCAGGGATCTTGGCTTCAGCTGCAGGGCAGGGCTCTGGGCTTTAGCCACACAGGGAGGCACCACGATTGGGTTTCAGCCATGCGGGCTGCCTCAGGGCTTCAGTGGCTCCCGCGGGTTTGAAAATATTTACTGGAGCTCCACTCTGGATGGCTCCAGCTGAATTTAAGCCCTGCTGACAGGTTTTTGTCTAAACTGTTAAAAACTTCCAGTCATGGGGATTCCAAAACCTGCCTGAGACACCTATATACTTACCTGTCTTTATAGTTTGAAAGCTTTTTCTTAATATCTAACCTAAATCTCCCTTGCTTCAGATTAAGCCAATCACTTCCTGCTCTACCTTCAGTGGACATTGAGAATAACTGATCACCATCCTCTTTATAACAACTCTTCAAATATGTGAAGACTATTATCGGGTTCCCCTTTAGTCTTCTTTTCTCAAAACTAAACAAGCCCAGTTTTACTAACCTTTCCCCATAGGTCAGGTTTTCTAAAGCTTTTATCATTTTTGTTGCGCTCCTCTGGACTCTCTCCAATTTGTCTATTCCTAAAGCATGGTGCCCGGAACTGGACACAGTACTCTAGCTGAGGACCTCACCAGTGCCAAATAGAGTAGGAGAATTACCTCCAATGTCCTACATATGACACTTGTGTTAACATATCCCAGAATGGTATTACACTCTTTTTTGCAACTACATCACATTGTTGGCTTATATTCAATTTGTGATCCACTATAACCCCCAAATTATTTTCAGCAGTACTACTGCCTTGCCAGTTACTCACCATTTTGAGTTATGCATTTGATTTTGCCTTCCTCAGCATGTGTAGTACTTTGCACTTGTCTTTATTGAATTTCATCTGGTTGATTTCAGACAAATTCTTCAATTTGTCAAGGTGGTTCTGAATTCTGATTTTTGTCCCCCAAAGGGCTTACAACCTCTCACAGCTTAATGTCATCTGCGAATTTTATTAGCATACTCTCCACTCCGTTATCCAAGTCAAAAATGAAAATATTGAATAGTAATGGACCCAGAAGTGAGTTCTGCGGGACTCTACAAGGATACATCTTCACAGATTGACAGCAAATCATTGCTAACTATTCTTTGAGTACAGTCTTTCCCCCGATGATGCACCCACCTTTGGTCTAGATGAAATACTATTATTTCCCTTTGGTCTAGATGAAATACTATTATTTCCCTAGTTTGCTTATAAGATTGTCATGTGGGATTGTGTCAAAAGCCTTACTACAATCAAAATATATCATTTCTACGGCTTCTCCATATCCACTAGGTCAGTAACCCTGTCAAAGAAGGAAATTAGGTTGGTTTGGCATTATTATTAAAAATCCAGGTTGGCTATTACTTATTGCCCTATTATCATCTAAGTGCTTACCAATTGATTAATAATTTGTTCCAGAATCTTTCCAGGTATTGAAGTTAGGCTGACTGGTCTATAATTCTCCAGGTCCTCTTTATTCTGCATTTTAAAGATAGGTACTATGTTTGCCTTTCTCCAGTCCTTTGGGACCTCACCCATCCTCCATGAGTTCTCTAAGATAGTTGCTGACTGTTCCGAGATTGCTTCAACTAGGTCCTTAAGTATTTTAGAGTGAATTTTGTCAGGCCCCGCCAACTTGAATACATCTAAATATTTTTTTTAACCTGTTCCTTCCGTATTTGGTGTGAGTTACTATTAATTGCGTTATGTATCGGGTCACAACCTTTTTAGTGAAGACTGATGCAATATAGACATAAAACACCTCAGTCGTCTTGATGTCATCCATTATTACCTCTCCTTTCCTGCTAAATAGTGGACCTACGCTTTCCTTTGTCTTTCCCTTATTCCTAATGTATTTATAGAAGATCTTCTTGCTGCCTCTTATGTCCCTTGCTACATATAACTCACTTTGTGTCATAGCCTTTCTCCCTACATGCTTGTGCTTTTCTTTTGTACCCCTCCTTAGCAGCTTGTCCATGTTTCCACTCTTTGTAGGCTTTCTTTTTGATTTTCATTATTAAAGAGATCCTGTTGGAGCTATATTGGCCTCTTACCGTCTTCCTATCTTTCTTTTGCGCTGGGATAGTTTGCTGTTACACATCTAATCAGAATACGGACCCTGGACTTCAGAAAAGCAGACTTTGACTGCCTCAGGGAACTGATGGGCAGGATCCCCTGGGAGAATAACATGAGGGGAAAAGGAGTCCAGGAGAGCTGGCTGTATTTTAAAGAATCCTTATTGAGGTTGCAGGAACAAACCATCCCGATGGGTAGAAAGAATAGTAAATATGGCAGGCGACCAGCTTGGCTTAACAATGAAATCCTTGCTGATCTTAAACACAAAAAAGAAGCTTACAAGAAGTGAAAGCTTGGA